AGATTGAGTCTCCTGTGCTGCTCAGGCTGGTCTCAGATTCCTGGCCCCATGTGAGCCTCCCACCTCAGCTTCCCAAGTCACTGGGATTAGAGACATGAGCCACCACATCCAGCTGCATATCATTTCAAAGGGTTCTGAGATCCCCCTAACAGCCATCCATGGGCCACAGATTAAAAACCTCTACTGTACAGTTTATACTTGATCCTAGTTTGGTCTCCTGTTGATACAGTGGCAGCACTGAAGGTACATGGATTGCTGCGAACTCTCTTTCAACCAGTGCCTCAAACTTTCACAACTGAGAAAAAATTCACAAAACAGGATAAAAGAGAAATTAAATCATGAAAAGCATTTCAGTTTATTAACTCTTCACATGGTAGTAGAATGAAGAGTGAGTATCCCCCAGGTATCATTCTATACACACATGTATTCTTTGGACCTTTAATCACAGTTAATAAGGTCTCTTCCAAGTGACCTGAATAAACAATTTCTTTAATATTATGAATAAAATAACTACTGCCATAAACAACAAAATATTTTTCTATTCCATGAAACAGCAATTTAATCTCCAAACTATTTCCATAGCTAACTTTGAGTTATTGTCAGAATTTTTATTGCAATGGAACAATAAACAAGTACAACTTTAAAATCCACTGGCCTTTAAATACATGAAAAAATAAATGTACATGTGAAATGTCTGGCAAAGAATACATTATAATCACGTGTATATAATAGTATTTTTGTGTACACAATTATTAGAGAATTATTTCAAGCATTGTAGACTTGAATCTCCATTTAATGACAGCTTTTCAATCATACTATATGGACTCTGTAAAACATGAACTTATTTTTATTTTATTTTTTGAGGCAGGATCATGCCCTGCCAAAATCCACTAATTTAAATCTAGGTTTCTAATCCAGTAACACTTTATAATTTCATACTTTGGCAATAACTTATTTCTATACTAACAATATCTTATTTTCTATAAATTTACTGGAAAAGTGTCCATGAGCATTTTCACTAAAGTTTTCCTACTTTAAATTTTTAATTATATATACTACAGCTACTGTTTAATACTAGGCCGAGGTTAGAGATTATCCACCTTATATTATTCTGTGTTGATATGCAGAGACATGAATATGAAACTTCTGAATTAAAATAAAATGTCTAGAAAATTATGTCTCTAATATCCGAGTGATTTATTTTACAAAGTCAGTCCCTAGTGGGATGCAATTACAAAGAGCAACATGGAAATAAATGAAGCCGAATGCCTCACTGTTCCACTCTTCTCCCCCAACTGTCAGTTTGGGGACATATTCCTCCACACACAAAACACACACACACACACACACACACAGCTCCTTTGAAACCATGCATGTAGTTATACAGTCCTCTCCTGGGAACTGTCTCCTCCCCACCCCAAGCTTTGCCTCATCCTGGGTGATATGGTTTGGCTGTGTTCCCACCCAAATCTCATCTTGAATTGTAGCTCCCATAATTCCCATGTGTTGTGGAAGGGACCTGGTGGGAGATAATTGAATCATGCAGGTGGTTCTCCCATACTGTTCTTGTGGTAGTGAATAAGTCTCATCCGATCTGATGATTTTATAAGGGGTTTCTCTTTTCACTTGGCTCTCATTCTCTCTTGTCTGCTGCCACGTAAGATGTGTCTTTTGCTGCTTTCCGATAGGATTGTGAGGCCTCCCCAGCCACGTGGAACTGTGAGTCCATTAAACCTCTTTTGCTTTATAAAATTACCCAGGCTCAGGTATGTCTTTATTAGCAGTGTGAAAACGGACTAATACACTGGGCGACCTTCAGTACCTTCACATCCTCACATCCTTTTCTACTCTAAAATCCCATTCTCACTCTCACATCTTAGACCAATTCATTATCACAGGTACTGCTCTTTCTTCAACATTTCTTATCCACAACCTCTTTTATTTCCAGAATGCTTGCTTTAAATACCCCCACTTTGTGAGCACTGCAATCCACTGACATCTCCACTTTCTCTAGCAGCCCTGTTCTTGAAGCTCTCTCCTAACTCAGCACAGATTTCATGGTCTACTTCAATCACAGTATTGCCAAAATCCAAAATGCCTTTGATCCTGTCTTTATGTCACACCTGTCTGATGAAACTAAATAAACCCAATTATTATTTTACCTGTGCTTATACTCATTCACAAGCCCTGCTGGAAGAAGGCAGGCAAAAGCAAAATGGTTCCATTTAAGAAATCATGATCACCAACTTGAAATTGGCTCTTGGTACTTCCTGGAGGTTTTTAGTCAATTTGCCCTCCCACGTACACAAGACTTAAACCTTCCCCACTGCCTTCAAATCTCCACTCTCAGCAGATGATCATTCCTTCTACCTTAAAGAGAAATTAAAGCCATCAGAATGGAGTGTGCGTGCCCACAAATAAACACACGCCCGAACCCTTACTATTCTCTCTCTCTCTCCATTAAAATAATTACAGCCAGGTGCCATGATTCATGACTGTAATCCCAGGACCTTGGGAGCTGAGGTGGGAGGATCACTTGAGGCCAGTAGTTCAAGGTTACAGTAAGCTATGATCTTGCCACTGCACTCCAGCCTATGTGACAGAGCACGACCCTGCCTCAAAAATAAAATAATTCTATCATGCATGCTTCAGATTTCATCATTTCCTACTTTCTTAAGTATATGAAATCACTGTTCATTCCTTTTCTCTCCTGTGTTGTACAACTCTCCCCTTCAAATGCATCCTCCCCATAGGCTTTTAAACATATCGATATGATCTCTTTTAAAAAAAATTAAAATGCCACCTTTCACTGGGTAGTCCTATTGGGGGAAAGTACAACACTCACTGCCCCCACTTTCTCACTGTTACCCCACACTCAGTCCACTTCAATCAGTGCCCTCCATGATGCTAACACCAATGGACAGTCTTTCCATTCTCATCTTACTTGACCCCTCAGCATTTGATGTTGCTGATCATTTACTTCCTTCATCATGAAACACATTTTCTCTTGGCATTCCTAACACAGTACTTCCTGGTTTTCTTCCTACTCCTCTGGCTATTTTTTTCTCTGACTCCTTTAGAGATTCAGCCACTCTAACTCAGCATTAAGAGTTGAAGATCCCCCCCAAGACTGGGTCTGAGGTTTCCCCTTCTCACTTCATACTCTCCACATGGGCATCTCATCCATGCCCATGCCTTCAAATGTGACCTGTACACAGAGTTACAAAACCACATCTGGGCTCAGACCTCTCCTCTGAGCTCCTGAACCACGCCCTGGTTTTACCACCTTTTAGAGGACTCAAGCGTACCTCAAACCTCACTCAGCATGTCCAAGCTGCACTCATGATCTTCCCCCTAAAAACCCAGTCAGTGTTCTGTATTTTGGTGAATGGCATCGCCATCCACCCACCTGAGTAAGCAAAAAATCTGGGAATTGCACCTGACAACCCCTACTCTGTCATTTCAAATCCAGCCCATCACCAAGTCTGACTGTCCACTTCTTTGCATCTCCACCACACCGCCCTGGTTTAAGGCATAATCACCTCTTTTCTGGACAATTATAACAGCCTCCTATCTGGTCTTCCAGCATTGACTTTAGCCTTGTACTGATCCATCTGTTTTCTATGTTGAGGTCACAGTAATCTTTTCGAAACATAAATCTGACAACGATCCTCTCAACCACGCAAGACTCTTAATGACTTTCCATTACTCTGAGTAATAAGACCAGGCTCATTAACACACCCTACAGTGCTCTGGGTGGTCTGGCCATAACCATCTCTTTAGCCTCATCTCACAATAAGCATCTCGTCCTCACCCTCTCTGGGCCCCAACTACAGAGAACCCCCTTTTCTTCCTCCAACTCACCACATTCCCTCCTGTCCTAGGACCTTTGTACATGCTGTGCTTTTAGTTGAATACTACTCTTTCCCCTTGACCTGGTTAATGCCTCTTCCTTCAGGTTGATGCTAACTCATCCCATGCTCAGGGAAGAATTCTGTCCATTATAAGCTCTTATTGCACCATTTACCTTGTATTGATGCCTCTGTATTACCTCACCATCTCCCCCAATAGGCTGTTAGCTCCAGGCAGGAGCTGTTTCTAGAACTGCCTTGGCACATAGGAAACTCTCAAAAATACTTGTTAAATGACTGACTAAATGGACATAGGGTCACAGGGTTCCTTGGATTTTTAGTAAATTGATTTACATTCATTAACCAACCTCTCAGAATAACCTCAGATATTACTAAATTGTTGGGCACTACCATGAGCATGTAATATAACAATGCCCTTGCTTTTCATACTCTCAGGGTCTTCTTGGCTGCTGACCGAGAGTCTTTAAATTCACTTAGCTGCAACACATGCTGGTAAAACTTATTGTGTAGTCTCCCTTACTTCTAACCACGGCCTTTGACCCATATGCCTATTCACATATAGAGAGATATGTTGACCAGTCAGGGTACTCTGCCAAGAAAGAAGAGAGCTATGAGGCTTATACCATCTTGTCTAGGCTTCTCCCATGCCCACCTGATCCTTGAGCCACAACAGTACCCCAGTTTATGAATCTAGCCTTTTGATCCTATTACTATATAATAATTTGCCCAGAAGAGCATATGAATTTTCAGGAGAGCTGACTGTATCAAGGTGAGGCAGTAGCAGTTTGATTTTTATTCTTCCTTCTCCAAGTTGTCCTGGAAACTAAGGCAGAAATTTCACCTACATCTAATTCACACAAGGAAATCAGGACACAATGATTTCCTGATACACTGAATGAATCATTCTACTCCCTTGGAGACGTACTACTGATTTTTTTTCAGGCATGCAGAGCAGAGACCACATGGAATCTGAGGCTGAAGAAAAGTGATTCAGCTCAGACACAATGAGCTGTCCTGGCATAATAATCTGCACATCTCTGCACTGGATAGAGAGAAAGCACAACTTGTTAACCCCCTCTGTGTTGAGGAAGATGCTTCCCAGAGTGTCTGAATCTCATAACCAAACAGATGAGCACATCATACCTTCACTAAATTCAATATGATGATGGGAGAACCAAACCTCTGAAACATCTGGTCAAAGTGAAGGGCAGCCACATGTGCAAATGGATCTGCCTGATCCACTGAGAAGAAAAAAAGATGAAGAAACACCTGAGTGAAAATTGCAAAGCAAAAATAAAAAATGCATCGCGTTGTTTTAAAGAAATGCAATTCAACTAATCTTTCAATAGTTTCACTTTCCAAATCCTTCCTAAGGCGCTCACTAGACACTTATTCATCATGTATTTATTACATTTGAATGATTCGTATGTTTCTGAAGCAACATAAAAACAGTTTTCTAACAGCCAAAATTAAATATACATTTACTGCATAATAACAGAAATTCCTCTTCTAAATTATCTACCTTCTAGAACTAAAACCTTGTGAAAACCTAAGCATTTATAGATCTCTGCAACAGCAGTTTACTATCTCTAAATGTGAGGACAGAAGAGTTATTATTAAAAACTTGGCTCTACACACATGTAATAGGTGGTTTAGGCATCATAGTTGAAATGTCCTGAGACCAGTATAAGGGCACAGATCCTCTAACTTGCACGTAAGAAGAATAACTTCCTGCAGTGAAAGACATCACAGAAGCATCGCAGAGTATTTGCTCGGTCTCCACTTCATTTGCAACATCACCCTGAAAAGAAAGATGCATTGAAAGATATTTTATGTTGTTGGAAATATTTAATGATATAAATTTCAATGAAGTTATAATTCCTATTCTTTGAAAGTCTTGAGAGGTCAATATTGATCAATGTTCAATATGCACATTAGAAAAGCAACCATTAAAATATAATAAAGAAGGCAATTAAAAGTATCAAAGAATAGACTAGAAAAAAAACCCAAATCTCTAATAATACAAGTCAGATAGAAAACGGCTGGTTTAAATAAATGGGAGTGAGGGAAAGAAAAGACAATTACATGAAATTATACAAGAGGTGAGAAAGACTAGAAGAATATCAAAATTCAATTCTGAAGACCAAAGTGAAATGAAAGGACAAAAGAGTTGAGATTCAAATAATGCCTGATGGACAAAAGGAAAAAAATAGGGTTTTCAGGTACTTATAGAAGTATATAAGGACATAACAAAGAATAATTTTAGAGGCAGTAATAATGTCCGCTTGATTATCCTTTGAATATTCAAAAGCAAATAATCTAGCTGCAAAATTCTGATATTTTAAAGCACCACCTATAACAATTTTCATTGTTGATATAATTTTAAAAACAATGTTGCTATTTTAAGCTGGGATCAAAACCCAATGCCTCACTCAATCTGTCTACCGAATCACACATCTGCTAAAGACTCAACTTGTCTATTGCAAACAGAGATGGAACACTCAAAGGAGAGGACATAGCTAATGGAAGGATGGGTGCATTTTTTGCTGTTGTTATTTTCTAGCAGTGAACAGAGAAAGGAGGCTAGGCGAAAAAAGCAAAGAGGACAAAGGGTTTCCGTACCTTGCTCCACTTTGTCTTCTTATCAAGAATAAACTTCTTGTGACAAGTGCTGCCTTCTACTTATTCCTTGGGTGGAGGTGCTTTGCTATTTTTGTTTCTACATTAAACATGTACTACATTTCATATATTATAGAAATGGCTCGCCTTCTAAACATTAGACATTTTATAATTCCTCAAAGCACTGCATAACTATAAGACAGCTGACTTTTCAGAACATCTGTATATTAGTCTTACTTCTCACATGTTTCAGATGCACTGAAGTATTAATAATTGTCAGGCCCCCACATCCATGGGTTCCCTCCACAGATTCAACCAATCTCATATAGGAAATATAGTTAGGGCTAAGATGGTTGTATTTGAACTGAACATGTGCAGACCTTTTTTATTGTCATTATTCCCTTAACAATACAGTATTACAACTATTTGCCTAGCATTTACTTATTAGATATTAGAAGTAATCTAGAGATGATTTAAGGTATACAGGTGAATGTACATAGGTTATATGCAAATACTAGGCCATATTATATAAGGGACTTCAGCATCTGTGGGTTTTGGATGGGAAGGGGGTTCCTAGAACCAATCCCTTGTTGACTCTGAAGGGTAACTGTATTCTCTTAATAATATCCTAAAGTAAAAAATTCCACTTTTTAAAATTTCACTGTACTTCTACATCAGCAAAGCTAATATAAAAGGTTAAAAGGTCAGTGAAGATACTATTTGTCATCTTACCTCACAGTTTGCACCTCTTTTAAGAAAACGGGTACCAGCAAATTTACTGGATCTTCTAGCTATTAGAGTGACATACACTGGTCGTCCATAGATCAACAGCTCTTGGAAATCAAGTTAAGGTGTTTAGCATTCATGACTGTCACATAAGACCAAGAGGGTCATTATACCTTAAATACACATTTAGATACAGCTTGTCCAATGGCTTAAAGAACACCAAAAGGTCCACCTGAGAATGCAACAGCACTGGGTCTAATGGTTCTTCAGAATTGGGGTGCAGCTACAAAGGGAAGGCAATATCCAACTTGCCTAAGGAGTCCTTTCTATAAATTTCAGAGGAAATGGTGATCAGCTGTAGGGTTACTGGCCTAGTAAAGGATATAAACAAGTATAACTAACCCTTTTGATATGGTTTGGTTCTGTGTCCCCAGCCAAATCTCATTTTGAATTGTAATCTCCAAGTGTCAGAGGAGGGGCCTGACGGGAAGTGACTGAATGATGGAGGCAGACTTCCCCCTTCCTGTTTTTGTGATAGTGAGTTCTCACGAGATCTGGTTGTCTGAAAGTGTGTGGCACTTCCCTTTTCACTCTCTCTCCTGCTCTGCCATTGTGTGTGCTTGCCCTTCACCTTCCACCATGATTGTAAGTTTCCTAAAGCCTCCCAGTCATGCTTCCTGTTAAGCCTATAGTCAATTAAACCTCTTTTTTCATAAATTACCCAGTCTCAGATAGTTCTTCATAGCTGTGTGAGAATGGACTGATACACCTTACTTAGTCTTCCGAGATCATACACCTTGCAAAGAGAACATGTGAAATTTTAATAGGTTGTTTAAATTATGAAGCAGTATATAACATATAATACTGAAAGGATAAACTGAGTATAAGATTCTAAAAGCAGTCAAAATCTGTCACCTACCTGCAAATCCTGAATGCTGAATGATTTATTGTGAACTGCTTAACCAACATATAGCTTCTTAGTTAATCACCTTAATTTTCTGAGCCAAGTCTCATCTTCGGTAAAATGGAATGTAACAATAAAGTAACTAAAGGTGGACTAGGTGAAGTAATGTGTGTACTACTAGTGCCTGGCCTGTAGTATTCATTAAATGGCTTCTATTTTTATAATCACACAGACTTCCAGAATTCATTAAATGCTTGATAACCAGGAGACTAGATTCATTGTTTAAATTTATGAGCTTTAAAATGATCATCTATGATGGTGCTATTTTTAAAAACAAACATTTATTATGTTTAATATGTGTCAGGCCCCAAGTTAGCTCTTGGAAATAAAAAACAGAACTATCTTTTAGGAACTACCTTTAGAAAGTGTAGCACATTCTCTTTGGTATCCCTGGTGGTAAAAAAGCTGTGTTCTTCCCAAGTAGAATTTACTTTTGGAAAGAGCCAAAAGTAATACAGGATCAAATCTCATTATGCAGTAATGATCAACCAGATAATACCACTCACTGGTTAAAAGTGATTATAAAGTCATGAGCCTGATTTTCAAGTGTAGCACATAAATCTCACTCAACTTCGTTTCAAAATCCCTCTGTGCTTTTACCTAGCTTTTCATCCCCCTCACAGAAGGCAGCCCTGCTGTTCTTCAAGGCTAACCTTGCCTGCTGTGCCCTTGGTACCACTCCTCTTAAATGCTCCTGGTGCAAGAACACATAATGATGGTCAGTCACATTCACTCACTTAATGGTCTCAGATCAACCACTCCTTTAAAGGTTTCAGTATATTTTTAAAAGCCTAACACACTAGAAAACATGCCGAATGCAAAAATGCCCTACGTTATCTCAAAAAGTAATAGGAAAAATCTAAACACCACTTTTAGATGGTACATGCTGCCTTCTTAAACCCCATAATTGCACTTTATTAAAAGGGTTCAAAGTAGCTACAAATTAATGAGATGAAGCTACTGAAGGAAATAAAAGTCTTTATAAAATTGAACTCATCAGCTTAACCCAAAGCTGAAGCTACTTCTTTAATCTATTTTGCCCCCTTGCCTGGACTACTGCAATCTTTCCCTAACTCATGTCCTGTGTTCTGGCTTCATTTTACTTAATCCAGCTTGAAAATGGCTGACAACTCAAGCGTCCTAAATACTACTTTGCACGTGTCACTCTCCTGCACAAAACCTTTCCAAAATTCTAGCATCAAACCCAGAGTCCTCAGCTTGACCACCAAGGCAATCTGGTGACTGTCAATCTGACTCCCACATACCAATCTCCTTCCCGCTATATGCTGCCTCCCGGGAGTTTTATGCCATGAGAACACTCCCGTGTGTTTCCACCTCTACACACACAGTGTTTCCCAGGCTGTGATCTCTTTCTCTGCTAAGGCCTGACTTTTGTTTAGGGCCCAGGCCAAGTTCAACTATTCCCATGGGCCTGTCGCATCCTCTCCAACTATCAGTAATTCTGCTCCTTCTCCCAGATACGCATGACACTTAAAACCTGTATCACATAGCATTTTCTTCCTTGTTATTTTTTCATCTTTCTGTGTATTTAACAGGCTTATTCAAATAGCATTCTTCTTTGTAGTTCTACTACATAGTATCATGGGCAGGTTTTCCTGTTGGGGTGCAGAGAATGGTATTATAATCATATAATTCATAGTAGCTGTCTACAAATTGACACATCATAAGCTTAGTAATATGTATTTTACATTTTTTTCAAAAAGGATACTTGACTGCCCACAGAACCCATGAATAATATACAAAAGCCAGTCACGATGCACGGCATTTTTTATTATATCCAGAAGTTCGCCGTTCCACACATATTTCATATAAGGCTCACTACAGATCCCAAATACCCCTGAAAAATAAAAGTCTGTATCAGTCCATAAATACATAAAATATTTTGTATCAATAAAAAAAAAAGTTGGTATCAGAAAGATATGGAAATGGGCTGACATCCAACTCATTTTTAAGTCAGCTGCTGTTTTTAACTTCAAAGTAAGATGCCTGGCTAACAGCATTGCCATTTTCGGCGGATATCATTCCCATCATGTCCAGAACATTGTGTGGATTCTGTGAAGAATCTGACTCCCACGAAAGGCATTTTCTGACTTGTGACAGTTCTTGAGAGAAAAGAAAACGAGAAGGAAATTCAGGACATCTTACAAATATATAAATAAAGTCAAGAGGCAGCAGGAAGTAGCAGTTGAGCACATGGCTGAGAAGTTAAAGTTCCTGGATCCAAATCCTGGCTCTGCTTCTCATCAGCAGGGTGACAGGCATGATCAAGAGTGTTATTTACCAAGAGCGTAGCACCTCTGCTTCCTCACCTGTACCACATGGTTGTTATGAGGATGAAATGAATTAATAATGCACATAAAGGGCCTAGAATAAAACTGGTGTATTACAAATACTTCTAATAAGTGGCAGTTATTATTATGTTAGGCCTTTTCTCTATGAATAAATTAATTTCATCAAACATAATTTTAGCAGATCCACGTAAACTTATTAAATAGCAATGAGTTTCATAAAACTTACATGAAGTGAAAAATTAAAAGTATGTTTCTAAGATAATAGCTTAAAAGACTGTAAAGTTTCTAAATAGCAGTTAATCAAGACCATTTTTTCCTCAAAACATGATCTGTTAAGAGTATTTGTTTATACACTATACTACACCTTGGTTTGATTCATAAAAACTAAACTTTCTCTGCCCTTTCAATGCCTTATACAAGAGAATTAATAATAAAGACAACAATAGGAGACCTATTTTCGTCACTTACCAGCTCTATGACCTTAGGCAAGTTACTTACTGTCTTTGAACTTCAACTTTCTAAACTACAAAACGATGTTAATACTACTTACCTCAAAGATATTGTTCAGATTAAATAGTATAGGCAAAGTACCTGACATTCAGTAAAGATTATTTTAAAAATTTATTGTTTTCCTTTCTACCTACTCCCATACCTTCTACCCTCTCCCATACCTTCTACCCTCAGTCCCTGTTTCTTATCAGTTTATCTCTGTGTGACAAGAGAATAATCTCACCTTTGAGAATGATGTATGCATGCTAATCACCAGAAACTGTGAATACAAACTGTTATATTACATGGCAAGAAGAAATAAAGTTGCAGATGAAGTTAAGGTACCTAATCAGGACCTTGAGATGGGGAAATTATTCTGCATTATCTAAGTGGGTCCAATAAAATCACAGGGTCCTTGTAAGTCAGAGAGGAAAACAGGAGTATGAGTCTCAGGTAACGTAATGTGGCTTTAAAGATGGAAGGGAGCCATGAGCCAGGGGATGAATGCAGCCCCTAGAAGATGGAAAGGGCAAGAAAACTGATTCTCCCCGGAGCCTCCGGAAAGGAATGCAATCCTGCTGACACACTAATTTTAGTTCACTGGGACCCACTGTGGGCTTCTGCCTTCTGTAAGATGATAAATTTGTTGTTTTAGCAACTAAGCTAGGTAATCTGCCACAGCAACAAGAAGAAACTAATACACCCTGTTATTCATATCTATCAAGTAGAATTGCTCCAGGAATAGCAAAAAATTAAGTAGCATAGGAGGCTTAATTCAGATCCCAGAACAGATATTCAAATTCAGATTTTGGAAAGTATGTAGGGCAAATTTAGTAATACTTCAGCTTTTGTATTACAAATGGTGATATTCAGAAGTGTTGCCAGCAAATATTCAGACACACTAGTTGCCTTGCCCTCTATCTGTCTCTAGCGGCATGGGTTACCACCAGAGTGTCTGAACCACGGCAAATGTATGTGATCTAGATGATCTGCGAGTAGGGACGGTGCCCTTAGCTCAAGTGATGATCAATCAAGTAAACTAACAAGAGTCAAAGGAAATGATGGGGATAAATTCAGTTTAAGTAACAGCCTAAGCCTTTTTAAAGTTGATCACAACATCTGGCAAACCATTAACAGAACCCAGCCACTTTTTGAGAGTCCTGCAAGGGCAGGTCTTCTGGGACTACTTTAAATTGGATTCTACCTCTGCACTTCTGCACCCACATCTTCATCACTATCATTTAAGTTGCATGGAGCAAGGAGCCCAAAGACACTATTGGCTTACTTCCCACAGTCTTTAACACAGCTGGTGTCTTCACTATTGAAATGATTCGCTTACAACATTCACATTAGCAATGTCTCTAGGTTTAGAGTGCTAGACTGACCCAAGAACCTGGCAATAAAGGTAGTGTGTGACTGGTTTAGTCCAGGATCTCAGGGGCACCCTAGACGAGGCACTGAGTGGTCCTACAGTGGTCTTACAGCAGTCTTGCAGAGGCAGGGCCTATGCAGAACTGATGGGTCAAGCTGGGACCCATCAGTTAATAACGACCTCTGACCTGCTACACTGTTTCCTCAACATGGCCATATGATCTTAATTTCTAGGCCTCAGTTTTCTACTTAGTCTTTAATTCTATAAAACTAGCACTATACCTACTGAGCAGAGTTTTTATGAGAAATAGCAATTTACATATTTATATATTATATATTTACATAAATATATATAAAGTTTATATATAAATATATATTTATATACTTATATATATTTACACATATTAAATATATATTTATATAAACATAAACATATTAAATATACATAGTATAATTTAATATACTTTTATATTTATAGTATACTTATATACTCCACATATAACATGTACTCCATTTATATGTTTATTTAAATATATTAAATATATTTATTACATGTAAATGTCTAGCACATAATAGGCAACCCATGGTAAATCTTTTTCAAAACTCAGACCATAACGAACGGGTCTCTATGAAGGAAAATAAGTAGTGTGTATTATCTAATATTAAAAAAAAATTATCCACATAAACTTCACCTCTGCACTCCATGTAAAAGTCTAGGCTTGAATGTATTCAATGAAAAGTACATGAATAATTGCTAGAAAATGTCAGCATACAATTTGGTGGCTGGCCGACAAATGAAATCACGTGGTGATTAATGATCTTTATAAAAATGAATTGGTCAACTTCACATATCCAAAACAACCCCATTTAAGGACAAAGAGCAATGAGGGATGGAGAAATATGAGGAAAATGTGAGTGAATTTAATGAGCTGCCACTTCATGGATACCACATTAATATACATGAGATACACCAAGACCACCTACCGCTTCCACCTTGTGTAATTAATCCTTCATCTTCAAAGATGTCAAAGCTTTCTTGGCGATTCTGGGTAGTTTCTGACTTTAACATCTCCAGGGGCATTCGCAAGACAGTGAGATTATACTGAAGTGAGTGAGACAAATCATAGCTGTAACTGAGGACAGAATTGAAATTTAATAAGAATTACAAAAGCAAAGCATATTTCATGGTCTTGGCTCCCATATGGAATTAAAATCTGTGAACTAAATTACTTAGCACCTGTTACTTTATTTGGAAGCAATGCTGTTCAAATAAGCACTGTAAAACATTGCAAAATATAAACATAATTAGAAATAAAAACCTCACTGCATGACTAGGCATCTGCATGACTGGAAATACACAAGACAATCTCAGTAACCTACATTCTTTGATTTCTACAATGTGCATATGTGCATTTTGTCCTTCATACCGAAATCAATCTAAGTTCATGGTCTTGTGCAAACAGGGTCACATTTTCTATGAATCTGTATGGGGTTTTAGATACTACAACACCCACTGCAATACTGCATAATTCTGTACCCTAGTTTATCCAGGAGTGAAAATAATTCTATTAATTATTTATGGTGGTATCATAACTGACTTCATAAAACAGAAATAAGCAAACAATATAGGCCATTACAGTGAAACATGTTTTAGGAGAGTAAAAGACATTCAAAAAATATAATTGTCTCTGTGCAAATGAAATTTGGCCTTTAGGCCAAAAGAAATTCATTCAATTTTGATCTCACATAATTAATATTTTTAAAGTATCTCTAGCTCTCTCTCTATATATAGCTAGAGATATTTTTAAAGTATCTATATATAAACATATAAATATATTTATACTCTATATAAATATACATAAATATATTTAAAATACGCATATATACATAGGGTGTATATATATATACATATATACTATACATATATATTTATAGTGTGTGTATATATATATATTTCTTAAGTATGTGTGGGTGGACTTTCCAGTTTTTACTGGAAATCCTAAAGGAGCCTAGCTATATACTTTTAGCACAGAATTTCAGAAAGTAGTTTGAATACTTTATGTTTATACAAATTTGAATACATTATACAAATTATACAAAAATATTTTCTGTTTGTACAAATTTGTTTTTAAAGTATTTTAGTCATATTTTAAAATGGTTACAATTCTGTCTGGAGAGTTACAAACATTATTTGAATTATAATTTCTTTATATAATTTGGTTGAAATTGATTTGTTTCATCTGTGAAATTCAATTGTATCACATTTGCTTGATGAATCCACTCATTTTAATAGCATCTAATCTCAAAGGGATAAAAAGCTATATTAAGAAGTTGGCTTCTGATTTTTAACAATCAATTCTTTCTATTTAAAACAATTGCTTTATTCTAGAGATTCTTAAGAATATATTCTAACCTTTTTAAAAGCCTACTTATGAGGCACAAAAACTTGAACCTACATGTATTTACTTATATAATGACTTATCACAACTCAGTATAAAAATACAGACAAAACTGAGAAATATGAAGCAGAAAAAGGCCATTTCTAACAATAGCACTGAGCTTCCATAATAATTGACAGACACTATAAAGTTAGGCATAAAGACTGAAAGCTAGAAGACGGCAAAAAATACAATGGAAATATACATTCAATAAACATTTGTGGAAGTAAAAACTATTTCTTTAGGAGCCCTTTGCCCCACTTCTGTTAAAAATAATTAACTTCTTTCAGGTTTGCATCAGTAAAGACATAATTCACCCTACGTAGTAGAAATGTTTTTCTTTCTTTCATAAAGAAATGGTTAACTACATTAATAGTTTAAAATAAGTTTTTAAAAATGCAAAGTACCCTGTCAGTAGTATATAACACCAATAGCTACAAATGCTCTAGGTCCTCCTTTGATACTTATGACTCAAGTCCTTATTGTGTTCTACTTTTAGTTTGGATATTACAGCTAATAGAATTTTCCATCTATCACAATAATTACATCTATCAGGCCCACATACTAGTCACATCAATGGTAGTATAAGACTTATCATGATGCTCTAATCATTTACTTGCCTGTTCTTCAATTATCAATATTTGGGTTGTCCCTGGATTATTTGGTTTGCTTGTTTGGGCTATTATAAATAGAGAAGCTATAAATGTCTCTTTACAATGGAGATTTGTATTTTTGCTCCTGGTTATTTTCTCAGGACATATTTTTGTATATGTTCAATGCTACATTCCATCTCAGGAAACTGTTAACTTAAAATGTCACCAGCAGTACATCAGTATTGCAACAGTTCTTCCTATTTTGAATTTATTTTTACCAAATTTTGCCAGATTATTTACTAAAGTTGAATTATGAAATTGTTACAACTCTGTATCAGAGGCTGAATGCAAATTTCATTTTTGTAATTTAAGATTACAAAATGAGAATATTTCTTTAAAATACATTAAATCCTACCTAAAACAAAGATGATTTCTATAATGAGAATAAATATACTTTAATTTGCCCATTTAGATTTTCAGATTAAGATTTTTAAAAGGAAGAAATGGCTATATTTTAATGCTTTTAGATAAAACAAGTTGACTAAAAAGAAACAGAAGAGTACTACTATGTTCTCATTCTGTTTTTACCCTCTGGAAAATAATATAAAAGTTTATGTGATTAATAGGAGCAAAATTAACCTCAAACTTACCTAAAGTAAAAATTGCTAGATAGGTCCACATTTTGAAATATTCGTAGATACCTAAAAAAAAAAAAAAAAAAAACCAAGGTATATTTCATTTGCCCAATACTATTACTTTTCACAGTTTAACATGTACCTATATGAACATTTATATTTGTAAATGTGCTCATTAAAGCTAAAGAATTCAAACCATATCTAGAATAAAGATTACATATGAAGCAATTCTAGGTCTGTTGATTATCCCTTTGGAGACCTGTAACTTTTTAGTTTGACTGTTCCTCATCACTGATTATGCCAGTGAGAGGCAAGGTCATGCACCTATGCGTGTGGGGCATGGCAGACTTTGGGCAAGATAGAAATAAATGCTGTTTTTGCTTTTACAACATGCTTTGCAAATGCTTTGAGGATGGAGAGAGGAGAGTGACAAAAACAAGCACAATGTTTGTGGGTCACCACAATTTTAAGTTGGTAAGTTTTTATACCAAAAAAGGTATAGAATAAAATGTTCACGTTTCTGTCACTCAGGATTAATAAATGTCCACATTTTAAAATATCTATTTCAACTTTTAAAAGATAAACAACGAACAATTTAAGAAGTTAAAATTCCCTTTAGACCTCCTCAGTCCTGTTCTCTCACTCCAGAGGCAACCATTTTCCTGTCATTGATATGAATCCTTCCAGTTCATGGATTTCTTCACTGTTATCACATTAGAGCCATCTTTGAACATAGCATTACACTGTATATTTAAAATATGTATGCAAATCATTTCAAACTTTGTATACTGTCCTATTTTCTTCACTCATTTTTTGAAATCTAGTTATGTTGAAAGTTATAGATTTAATCTGTTCACTTTAATCAATGTTCGGTCTTCATCATATATAGTCATCCCTTGGTATATGCAGGGGATTGGTTCCAGGTCCTCCCTCGGATACCAAAATCTGCTGCTCAAGTCCCTGATATAACATGGCATAGTATTTGCGTATAACACACAACACACAACACACATCTTCCTGGATACTCTGAATTGCCTCTAGATTACTTATAATACCTAATACAATGTAAATGCTATGTAATGCTATAGCTGTTATACTATATTGTTTAAGGAATAATGACCAGAAAAAAGTCTGTACATGTTCAGTACAGACACAATTTTTTTCAAGTATTTTCAATCTGTGGTTGGTTGAATCCACGGATGTGGGGTCCATGGATAAGAAAACCCAGCTACACATGACACACTTTATTTATCCATTCTCTGCCGATAGACCATTAGGTTCTTTCCAGTTCTCCACTGTAAGATACGACGCATGTTTTCCCATAAACATGTATAACAGCTTCTCTAGGACACATGCATAGAAACAAGAATCACTGGGTTGTAGATAACATGCATTTTCGATTTTGCTAGAATTGTCGGAGTGTTCTTCTAAGTGGCTAAAATATCACTCCAACTCATAGTGTACAACTCATTTCCCACATCTCTGCTAACATTTGATGATGGCAGATATTTTGATTATTCCCAAACAGACTCATGAGAATAAAATGGTAGCTTTTTAATTTGCATTTGCCAGATTACTAGGTAAGGTTCAGAATCTCTGCTGTGAACTGCCTGTTCCTTTTAACCATTCTTCAGTTACGTTGCTTATTTTTTCTCACTGATTTGTAGAAATTCTTCCCACATTCTAAATAATAATCATTGTTATATGCTGCAAATATCTACTTTTAGACTCCTGCTGTTTCCTAAAATTTGTCTGGATTATAAATACATTTTGAATATTGACAGTATCAAATATAGCACTGTTTGCCTTATGATTTATACATTTTCTATTTTGTTTGTAAAATCCTTTTTCATACCAGTATTATAAAAGTGTTTACCTTTATTTTCTTAAAATTATCTTTGTACTTCTGAACTTGCTTCCTGAATATTATCAGAGAATGGAATCAAATTTCAATTTTGTCCAATTGGAAAACCAACTTTATTTATCCCATCTTTTACCTCAATGACTTGTAATGCTTACTTTATCATATTGCAGTTTGCCACATAAAATGCATCTTTTTCTAGGTTTCCTCAACTCTGTTCATTGACCCACATCAATTCCTCCACCAATACTAAGCAACCTTATTTACTATAGCTTACTATCTGATTATCTTAGTTACTATAGGTCTTACCAACTGGTTGACTTTATTTCTTCTTTTCTTTTTTAAATTGTCTCGACTATGCTTAGACATTTGCTTTTCCATATGACTGTTAAAATCATGCCAAGTTCCATTCTCAAAACATCCTCTTGGAATCTGGATTAATGTTACATTAAATTTATAAATTGGCCAGGTGCTGTGGTTCATGTCTATAATCCCAGCACTTTGGGAAGATGAGGTGGGAGAACTGTTTAAGTCCAGGAGTTAAAAACCTGCCTGGCCAACACAAAAAGACACAATTTCTGCCCAAAATACCAAAATTAGTCAGGCGTGGTAGCATGTGTCTGTAGTCCCAGCTACTGAGGAGGATAAGGTGGGAGGACCACTTGAGCCCAGGAGTTCAAGGCTTCAGTGAGCCAGGACTGCACCACTGCACTCCAGCCTGTGTAACAGAGTAAGACCTTGTCTCAAGAAAAAAAAAAATTTATAATTTTGGTGAAAACTAACATCTTCATGATATCAAGCCTCATCCATGAACAAGGGACATCTCTCCAATTATTAGAGATTTTTTAAATCTTTTAATAATGTTTTAAGCTTTTTCCATAAGGTTTTATATAGCTTTTGTTATATTTATTCACAGGTACCTTAAAAATTTTTTGTTCATTACTGCTAATGTGTGGAAACATTACTGGTTCTTACATATCTTACATGTTGATCTTTTCTTTTTTTAACTTTTTTTTTTTTTTTTTTTTGAGGCAGAATCTCACTCTGTTACCCAGGCTGCAGTACAGTGGCACAAACACGGCTCAATGCAGCTTCAATCTCCTGGGCTCAGTCCTCCCACTTCAACCTCCCAAAATGCTGGGATTACAGACGTGAGCCACCATGCCCAGCCACCTTTTCTTAAGTCGTTCTGCTGAACTCTTTCATCAGTTCTGAGAATTTGTAGATATTCTCAAATTTTCCAAGTAGAAAATGATGCTGTTTGTATAATAACATTAATTTTTCTTTTCAAGCTTTATGCCCATTTTTCTAGTCTTGTGGCACTAGCTAGGACCTTCAATATGAGGCTGAATGTTAGTAGTGATGGTAAATACCTCTGTATTGTTCTTTACTTTGATTAAAAGTAACGCTTTTAAAGTTTCACTTCTAAGAACAATTTTGGAGATAGGATTTTAATAGGTATCATTTATCAGATTAAGAAAGTCTGCTTATATTCCTGGCTTGCTAAAACTTTTTATAACAAATGGGTATTAAATTTTGTCAAATATATTTTCTGCAAACATTAAGAAGATAATTTTTCCAGCAATATTTTAATGTGGTGAACTGCTCTAGGAAGCTTTCTAACATTGATAAGAATCATGCATTACAGAGAAAAACATTACGTACGAAATGTTTAACAGTACTGTATTTTATTTCCAAATATTTTACCAAATATTTTTACTTAGATGCACTATTGGATTACATAGTTTTATAAGTGTTAAAAACTTTTCCTATTTAGTAATATTATTTCAGTTTACCTATAAAAAACTATTAATATAATTGTATCTTGTTCTGAATAAGTCCATTTACTACATGGTATTACTCATAAGATAATTTTACTCTTTAAAGATATTCCAATCACTATATACAATAACATAATCTATATTATTCTTGGCTAAAGTCATAAAGATGAGATTTATAAATAATATTAACCTCTTGAACCTTTTCCTATCCCTGGATCCGTATGCTCTCTCTGGTCAATCTGATTTACTTTTAGTCAATAAACTATGCTTTCCTATATCCAGTATGGGATATAATTTTTTCAGTTAGTGCAAGACAAAGGTTTACTTTATCTGATAAATTGTACTTATCCTCATCCGAAACAAATTATTTTCTAATAACTCCCCCTTCCAAATCATCATCAAAAGCAACATGACAAGGGCCAAGAAAACCACTGTCTAAGAAGGTCTCAAGCAAGAGGGTTGCATCACTTTTAAATTTTGGTTCATGTATCAGAACACTATAGAAGTACAGGATATAATTAAAATATAAACTGTTACCTATCCTAAAAACTTATAAATAGTTCTTTGTTCCATTTTAATCTTCATAAAATTAAATCAATTCAACCTTTACAATTTTATCAATTTGTTAATAGCTTTTCCCACATTGCCAAAGTTCCAATAATTCCTCCAAAACTTTTGAACATTTCAGATATATAGAAAAATTGGGGGAAAAAAGTACAATTAACACCAGTATGTCCTTTTTCTGAATTCACTGTTAGTGCTCTCTCCTTAAACACATACACAAACATTATCTCTCTTTAAATATACAAGTACATTTTATTTTTCTAAACCACTTGACAGTAAGTAGCAGACATCGTGACACTTCACTCCTAAATATTTTAGCATGTATCTTATTATGAACATCTCCTCAGTAACCACCAACCATTATTATGCTCCAAATTTAAATGCTGATTCAATATCACTAGTATGTAGTCTATATACAAACTGTCCAAATAAAGCCCTTTAGAGCTTTGTGTGAGGATATGTGTGCAAGTACACACACTTTTAACCCAGGATCCGACCAAAATCTGCATTTTGTTGTCATGTCTGTTTTAAAATCTAGAACAGCTGTTTTTTGTCTTTGATGACTTTAACATTCTTTTAAGAGTCAAGGCCAGTTATATTGCAGAAAGTCCATCAGTATGTATTTATCTGATTATTTCCTCATGCTTAGATTCAAGTTAAATATTTTTAGCAATATTTAACTACTAATGTAAACTGTGTCCCTCCACTGAGAGTCAAACAATGTCAGTTTTGTCTCATTATTGGTGATGCAAAGTTTGATTACTTGGGTAAGAATGTCTGCCATTTTTTTTCATTATAAAAATACTTATTCCTCTTTGTAAACAACAAAGATATTTATGGAGTTTAAAAGAGACTGTGATTATTCTGTTCCTCAATAACAACCTTTCACCTAATGGTTTTAGTTGCCATTGCTGATTCTTGCCAATTGCTATAGTGGAGGCTTTTTAACAGCTCTTAAACAAAAGTTGTAAAATTCTGAGCCAATATTTGATCTTTTTATATAACATTTATAATTTCTAAACTATATTTTATTTTCTAACTGATCTACCACATTAAGAAAAGTACTTGAGCCTGGGAGGATGAGGCTACAGCAAGTTATGACCATGCCATTATACTCCAGCCTGGGCAACAGGGCAAGACCCTGTCTCAAAAAAAAAGGTAGTTACCGCCATACATACCTAGCTTCATCAGGATGAGTAACCCGTACAGAATCATTGGGTATATAGATCATATTTGTATCTTCGATCTTATAGATGGCATGACCTCCAATATCTGCCATCTTCCTCCTTTTAGTTATTAACACAATATAATAGCCTTCTAAGAATCTGACAAAACCTAGGCAACAAAAAAAGAAAGAGAAATATGTTTTATAAACCTAGTAATGGCTTCGAGATGCCTATTTAAAAGGACAAAGACTTTTGATACATTTCTCACTTTATTATTTCCTTGATTTACAGCCATATAAATTTCAGGTATCTCAGAATTACTCTCTAGAAATATCTATACTGACATTTATCTCACTTAAAAATATTACTCTAAACAGAGCCAAATCATGAGTGAATTCCCATTCACAATTGCTACAAAGAGAATAAAATACCTAGGAATACAACTTACAAGGGACGTGAAGGACCTCTTCAAGGAGAACTACAAACCACTGCTCAAGGAAATGAGAGAGGACACAAACAAATGGAAAAGCATTCCATGCTCATGTACAGGAATAATCAGTATTGTGAAAATGGCCATACTGCCCAAGTAATTTACAGATTCAATGCTATTCCCATCAAGCTACCATTGACTTTCTTTGAAAAATTAGAAAAAACAACTTTAAATTTCATATAAAACCAAAAAAGAGCCAGTATAGCCAAGACAATCCTAAGCAAAAAGAAGAAAGCCGGAGGCATTATGCTACCTGACTTGAAACTATACTACAAGGCTATAGTAAACAAAATAGCATGGTACTGGTACCAAAACAGATATGTAGACAAATGGAACAGAACGGAGGTCTCAGAAATAACACCACACATCTACAACCATCTGATCTTTGACAAACCTGACCAAAAAAAGCACTGGAGAAAGGATTCCCTATTTCATAAATGGTGCTGGGAAAACTGGCTAGCCATATGCAGAAAACTGAAACTGGACCCCTTCCTTACATGTTACACAAAAATTAACTCAAGATGGATTAAAGACTTAAATATAAAATCTAAAACCATAAGAACCCAAGAAGAAAACCTAGGCAATACCATTCAGAACATAGGAATGGGCAAAGACTTCCTGACACTAAAAGCAACGGCAACGAAAGCCAAAATTGACAAATCAGATCTAATTAAACTAAAGAGCTTCTGCACAGCAAAAGAAATGATCATCAAAGTGAGCAGAAAACCTACAGAATGGGAGAAAATTTTTAGAATCTGTCCATCTGACAAAGGGCTGATATCCAGAATCTATAAAGAACTTAAACAAATTTACTAGAAAAAACAAAACAAAATAAAACAAAAATCAAACAGTGGGCAAAGAATATGAATAGACACTTCTCCAAAGAAGACATTTATGTGGCCAAAAAACATATGAAAAAAAGCTCTTCATCACTGGTCATTAAATAAATGCAAATCAAAACCACAATGAGATACCATCTCACGCCAGTTAGAGTGGCAATTATTAAAAAGTCAGAAAACAAGAGATGCTGGCAAGGCTGTGAAGAAACAGAAACACTTTTAAACTGTTGGTGAGAGTGTAAATTAGTTCAACCATTGTGGAAGGCAGTGTGGCTATTCCTCAAGGATCTAGAACCAGAAACACCACTTGATCCAGCAATCCCATTAATGGGTATATACCCAAAAGATAATAAATCATTCTACTGTAAAGACACATGCACATGTATGTTTACTGCAGCACAATTTACAATAGCAAATACTTGGAACCAACCCAAATGCCCATCAATGACAGACTGGATAAAGAAAATGTGGCACATATACACCATGGAATACTATGCAGCCATAAAACAGGATGAGTTCATGTCCTTTGCAGGAGGCATGGATGAAGCTGGAAACCATCATTTTCAGCAAACTAACACAGGAACAGAAAACCAAACACTGCATGTTCTCACTCATAAGTGGGAGTTGAACAATGAGGACACATGGACAAAGGGAGGGGAACATCACACACCGGGGACTCTCAGGGGATAGGGGCAAGGAGGGGAAGAGCATTAGGACAAATACCTAATGCATGCGGGGCTTATAAGCTAGATGATGGGTTGATGGGTGCAGCAAACCACCATGGCACATGTATACCTATGTAACAAACCTGCATGTTCTGCACATGCATCTCAGAACTTAAAATAAAAAAAAAAAAAGAAAAAAAATTATTCTAAACAATTTAATTCATTCATTGTTTTTGGTTTCACTGCAAATAGCACTTAGATGCCTTAAGCAAACATAGATAGCAAGATTAAGAGGAGTTATTATTCCATGGGTAGAGCTTTAGTTTTGCATAGATAAAAAAATTCTCAAGATTTGTTGCACAAGATGCATATAGTTAATATTGCTGTACTGTGCATTTAAAAATGGTAATAATGATTATGTTTTTACCAAAATTAAATATATATATATACATACATACACATATACACAAAATACTATAAAAATGAAGATGAAATTATAGTAAAGGAAATGTTTAAAAACATAGTAAGATGAGTCCAAGAATAAAGTCATACACAAGCATAAATCTTAAGATCCTATGTACTATACCCCACATTTGCCTCTCCATTTTCTTACAGATAATGCAAAGAGGAACACACATCCAAGTATACTATGCACAGTGGCTAAAAGATAAAAAACCAAGCCAGTACTTAGAGAAGCTATGGTAGTTCTGAGAACTGGAAGATAATTCCAGATTGAGTCCTCATAAAAAGGATACGTGCTGCAGAGAACAATAACCTCAGGAGAATTCTCCAGCAATGTCAAGGATACATTTCTCAGTGCTGTTTCAGATGCCAAGGCACAATTCAATAAATATTCTTTACAAACTGAAAGAATGCAGGCAAGGCACACAGCTGAACAGAGGTCTAATTTCATTTGAAGATAAAATCTAAATACCTCTGGTAATATTTTACCAAATGTATTCATCATGAAATACTAGTTAATGGAATTCCATAGGGGAGAGGAGTGCCAGTGAGCAAATAATACTGGACTAAGAAACGTAAAAATCCTGAGAACCTTACAGTACTGTGCTACAGTACACCATGAATTTTGATGGGAGATAAAGACCAAGTGCCTTTCCAGATTTGTTTGTTCATGGAAACTCCTACCGCTGCCTTAAAACAACAACAACAACAACAAGAAAACAGTAGATAAACGTTCTAAGGAACATATTTTGGGAAATGTTGCCCAAAAGAACAAACGTCATGGATTCTTGATAATTAATGTCCAAAACCAATTTGAGCGGCTTAAACTAAAAAAGGAATTTATATGAAGGATCCCGAAGTGATTCATGCCACACATGGGAAACAGTGTGTCTGGGCCTCAGAGAAAACCCAGTCAAGAAGTGTCTCTCAACATCTACTCCATTCTTCTCTCCCTCCATAGACCAGGCTCCTCCACTTCTCTGGATCATGTGGTAGGAAACACAACAGTTGACAGCTCTGGGCTTTCCACCCAAAACCTCCTAACTGGGAAGAAGAGAACATTTTTACCAAGTTCAATTTCAGAATTCCTGGGAAAGAACTTGGATTGACCCAACTTGGGTCAGGTGCCCAGCCCAAGACCAATCAACTATGGCCAAAGAATAGAATCACGCTGTACTGGAAGCCATTTTATATAACTAGGTGGCCTAGATGGGACTGGAGGACACAGTGCCAGTTCCCTGGAAAGTGAGTGCAAACAAAACAATATATTAAGTAAATTACATATCCTTCATGCAATCCTCCACAAATATCATTTCTGATAGTTCAGTTTTTAAATGAATATTGGAGAGTTAGAAACAGAGTTGTGTTTTATGTCAGATCATTAAAATATAGAAGTTCTATACTGCTGACTAAAAAAGAGCCATATACATTAATGTTCAGCAGCATTACATTCTCAGCAACAGACTAGTTGTCATACAATCTTGGTCAAAAACTTTCAGGTTCCCTGAACTTTGCTTTGGGAGTTAAAACTAACTTTTTTGGTGGTAGTGAAGAGGTGACACTTCTGAAATGGCAATGCAAGGAGCTCAGCAGACCCTTTCCTAGGAAAAACAATCATAACTGGCAAAAATCATAAAAACAAAGGAAAAAATTCAAACTTTCTATGAAGTTCCCTAAGGGCACACAGAAAGTGGATAAACATTCATCCAAGAAAATCTACTAAATCTTGGTAAAAGCAGCAAGTTTGTGGCATTTGGATCATGGCCTGTTCCCCTTCCACACTGCCTCCCAGTTCAGTGTGACAGGGTATCTACTCTGGACAGTTGCAGCCAAGAAGATAGAGCTCCTTCCTCTCTCTCCAGCTCCCAGTCTAGGACCACAATTTCTGCTCACGAGGGGCAGGCCACCAGCATTTCTCATCCCCACCAGCTCTGTGTTGTAAAAGCTCTATTCCAGGTAAGCATGGCTAAAGTCTGGGCTCCTTCCTTCAACCAAGCACCGACTCACAGGGTAGAGGCTCTACTCCAGGCATGTCAGGCCAAGAACACAAGGCTCCATCCCTGCCCAGCTCACTCGCTCATAGGACAAGCTAGATACAGTCATATACAGCTGTTTCTCATCAGAAGCAATGAAAGCCAGAAAGAAGAGGGATGCCATATTTAAAGTGCTAAAAAAAGATACATATCAAGAAGAATCTTATATCTAGCTATTTTTCAAAACTAACTTTCTCACACATACATTCTCTCTCTCTCTCTCTCTCTCTGTATGTGTATGTGTGTTTCTCTCAGAGTATTATAGTCTATAAAGTCTAAGCTAGGACCCTGGTGCTCTGAATTTTTGCTCTAGAATTGGCAAATACCTATGACCTATGTCTTGTTATTCTCAGCTGATGAAAAAAGAACTACTAACTGAATACATTAACATGAAAGAGCTGAAATCTATAATGGAAAGATGTCTCAAGAATCTTGTCAGCCATGCTACTGAGAAAAAATGCTATTAAAATAATGAAAAATACTTATATTTTAGAAATCCACAAAACACAAAGTATTTCTTTAAAAAGGTTAGAGACTAGCCAAAAATGACCTCAAAGTTGAAGGACACAGGAATGGGAAGAAGGAAAAAAAAGCTGATGACAACCTCCCTAAAAGCAACTTAGGAAGTAGTCATCCTTTCAGAAAGATAAAAGTTACAAAAGTAAGGCTTTTGGAAGCAA